GGAGACACTCTCTGGGGCCGCTAGGAGCTGGAATTGACTCAACACCAGGGGATGGGTGCAAAGGAACCATTCATCCTCGTGTATCACCAATTCCTGAAGTCGCTGAAAACGACTTCAGAGGTAGGGAGAAAGATGGCATCGTCCAGAAGGACGCCCCCGCTCCAAGGTGCCGGTTCCGGGAAGGACACACTGCTTGGCCCCCAACATCTTCATTACTGCTGGTGTGAGCTCTGTGGCATGGTGGTGGGGAGTGGGCCAGTTCACTTCCCCAAGGGCCCCCTCATCCTCCGAGCCTCCCCCTACTGCACTACACAGGATGTCCTCTTCTGCAGGGGCTGTGCGGGGCCACCACGTCGGCGGGTCTAGAACAACCCCACGTACAGAGTGAAGCACCGCCCCGTCCATCCTGTGCCAGCCTGACGGTTGGCTCCCAGGCCTGAGCCCATAGTGGCAGCCACGGTGCCCATCCATCTCCTTGATGGCCGTCCTCTTTTCTTGCTGCCCCTTTACTCTACCAAGCAGGACATCCTTCTCCAGGGACTGGTGCCTTCTGACAACATGTCCCAGTAGCTGAGATGAAATCTTGCCATCCTTGCCTCTAAGGGAGACACCAGCTGTTTTTCTTCCCAAACGAATCAGTTTGTCCTTTGGACAGTCCATGGCACTTTATTCAATATTCTTCACCAGCAAATCCACGGGTTCAAACTCACTGCTTATTTGGACTCCCTTATTCAATGTCCCACTTTCACACGCAGAGGAAGCGATTGAGAAGACCATGGCTTGGGTCAGGGGCACCTTCATCCTTAAAGTGACACCCTTGCTTTTCAACAAAGAGGCCCTTGTGCAGCAGAGGCACCCAATACAACTGCCATTAGATGGTTCCTTGCTGCTTCCGCGAGCACTGATTGTGCATCGACGCCAGATGAAATCCCTGAAAACTTCAACCTTTTCTCCATTTATCATCATCTTACCTACCGTGAGGACGTGGGTCTTTACATTGAGTTGTAATCGAGACTGGAGGCTCCAACACTCGATCTTCCTTGGCAAGTACTTCAAATCCTCTTCCCCATCAGGCAAGCAAGGTTGTGTCACCTGCGTATCACAGTTGTCAATGAAGAAGCCTTCCTTCCATCCTGATCCCACATTCTGCTGCTAGTGAAGCTTACACGTAAGATTTTTTTTTTTCTTTTCTCAGAGAACTAAGCCTTTTTATTTCCTTGTTTCACAAATAAAGCTGGCTGCTTTGGTTGCTTTTTGGTGACTCCTCAGAGAGACCAAATCCCATATCCTGTCCGGCTCTTCTGATTCCTCCTTTGCTTCCTGTTTGGCCAGGGCCAAAGCAGCAGTAGTAGTGGGGGCAGCCACAGGGGCAGGGGCCACAAATGCAGATGGATCGGCCAAGAAAGCCTTGACCCTTTCAGCCAGTGGGAAGCTGTACTCAGTCTCCACAGACAAAGCCAAGACCCGCTTGTACCCATGGATGATCGAATGGGGCACGGAGGTGACAGCTGGGTGGCCAATCTGCGGGTACACACTGGCAACACTGCGGACACCCTCCAGGAAGCGGGTGTGCAGAGCTTCCTCTGTGATGTCAAGCACTTCCGGGTTGTAGATGCTGCCCTTGTCAAACACCTGCTGGATGATCAGCCCAAAGGAGAAGGGGGAGATGGTCAGCATGTTCAGCAGGGTGGCTTCGCCGGCACCCACTTTTGTCTCCAGTCTTGATCAGCTGCACGTCACGCAGGATTTCAATGGTGCCTCTGGAGATCTTCGTAGTGAGGCCCAAAGCCTGGAAGAAGGAGGTCTTCTCGGGACCCAGGCCCGTGTTCTGAGCCGGCACTGTCACCTCACACGGGCGATGGCATCAGCACGGGCGGCAGCTGGCACCTAGTTGGCCAGCAGCATGTCTCTGATCTCAGGGAGGTCCTCCTTGGTGAACACAAACCCCACATTCCCTCGGATAGGAGGCACCAGTTTCTCCAGAGCTGGGATGCTCTCCCGATGCCCTCGGATGGCCTTGCGCATCATGGTGTTCTTGCCCACCAGGACCACGGCCTTCCCTCGGAGGGACATGCGGATCTGCGGCATCTGCTTGGAGCCCACATTGTCTGCTCCCACAACGAAGCATTTTGGATACTCATCCAAAAGTTGGGTTATTTTAAGGAAGCAGTTGGACTTCCAGGTCGCCCTGTCTTCCCTGGGCATCATGGCGGTGCGTCAGGGGTTGCTACGTGGGGTTTAAAGATGCTGTCACCCTAAGAGGACGCCTGGCGAGAGAATACACATAAGATTTTTTTTTTTTTTTTAAGATTTTTATCAGCTGATATTTAGACATAGACTGCCAAATCGTTCTTCCTTGTCACAGTCTGGACTCTTCTCTGAAACCTGCCTGCTGTAGGTGGCATTTGAATACCAGCATCACAGCAACAGCAAGTCACCACGGGTGGATAGACTCGGGTGGGCGGTGACAACAGGGAGACCCGTGATCCTGGCTGTACCGCCTCCCATTTCTGGATCACTGGGCCCCAAGTACTGCCTTCTGGAGGGCACAGGCAGAGGGTGAGCTCGAACAGTGTGTGTGAACTAATGAATGTACGCTGAGAGGACAACAGAACTGTAAGTGAATGGATATGTTGGATTGTGTAAGATATGAGCCACCCCCACCCCCTCAAAAAAACCACTACTACAGGGAGAAAAAAGTAAGGGTTCCCGGGGGGTGGGGCGGGGGAGAGGGGATCAAGTGGAGTTAATATCAAGGAATTCAAGAAGAAAGAAAAAAATCTTGAAACTGGTGGCAACTGTACAATCCTGCTTGATGTGATTGAACTGTGGAATGTTAGGATATCTG